CATTGTTTATGTTAAATTTTAAAAGATTTTTTGTCACATTTTTTATTGTACATTCTCATTGACGTTAATATTAATAATAACAATTGTCAGCATATTCAAGCACAGGCGGCACATAAGTGGTCTACTGAAACTACACATAAGAAGTCGTTGTTGGAGCTTGTTGGAGAAGACATCGAAGACTGTAACGACAATGAAGTCGTGATTGGAGCTTATTAGATAAGGCATTGACAGCACTAGTTTTTTGAGTTCTATGAAGAACTGTCCGAATTTGCTGTCTCTTTGCTGCGCTTTTGCAAATATTCAACATAAGAGTACTAAATATGCAATTATGGATACACTTTTGCTGTCATTTTGTTGAGCATTTACAAAAGCACAATAAAATGATAGAAAATATTCAATTATTATGATATTTGCTATGCTTTGACTTTATGATATTTGCTATGCTTTTGCTGAGCATTTTGCAACTTGATAATAATTAGTATTTCTAAGACTTCAATAATATCATTATAGGTGTCAATATATGACATGGCCCGAAAATCTGACCCGAAATGTTAAGATTTGGTAACAAACGGGTCGGATTTGGTTTTAATTTTTCAATCCGATTGACATATCAGCTCATGTCCCAAAAAAAAATCAAAAGATTTATTTTTTACTGTCAGCTTAACATACATCAAATTATGATTTTAAGCTGTTATTAATCTTTTCAGTCTTGTTCGGCAACTATATATATACATATGTATGTGAAAATAAGGTTGAAGTTGACCCCCTTAAAAAAAAATTCTGGCTCCGCCACTGATGGGATGTGTAAGTGTAATATGATATTAATGAATGATGTTTCTCTCGTGATGCTATCATAATCTATTATAATGTGAGTACGGTCTAAGTTCGAATGTGAGAAAAAGCGGCATGAGCATGCATAAGGCTAACAATAGGCAAATTTTTTAAGTGGTGGTAACTCATCAGAGCCAACCTCGATGGATACAAATGAACCAAGATGACATAGCTAGGGATCGACAGGCTAGAAGGCTTCGTTCGGAGAGCAAGGGTTTCGTCTCTTGGGGTGGAGAGCAAATTTTTTAGGGTTTAGGGAAGTCTTCCGCCCGCCCGGCCGGTTGATTGCTTGCTGTGTGCGGCTCACCACATATGAAGTTGAGTGCTCATTCTAGGTCTCTCTTCCTTCGGAGCTGCTTGGGTGTCGGTGGCGCCTCGTGCCTTCCACCCATTTCTGGGAAGTGTTTTGTCCTCATTCTCTTTGTTTGTCTTGGTTTTTAGGCTATGGTTTTCTGTCTCTCGTGGTGATTGTCCTCCTCCGGCCGCTCTCGGTTGGAATGGCGGTTAATGACGTCATTGACCCTGGTTTCTTAAATGAAAATTCTTCTTCTGGATCATTTCTTGAGGCCCTTTCTGTGGCTTCTTCTTTGGCGGAGTTTTCCGACCTTAGGTTGACTACACACTGTGGTTTGCCTTCATTGTGGATTTCGGAGGAGGAAGTTCTCGCTTTGGTGAAGCCATTCGAGTTCTCCTTGATCGGTTTTTTCCCTGCCCGCAGACCATCTTTAGATGCCATTCGTCATTTTTTTTTCAATCTTAAACTCATTGGAACTTTTTCTGTTACTCTTTTAAATGCCAGACATGTGCTGATTAAATTGAGCAAGGATTTAGATTATAGTCATGTCTTCTTTCATCGTTCTTATTTTGTTAACAACTGTTTTATGAAGCTATCCAAATGGTCTCCCTTTTTTGATGTCAATGTTGAGTCTCCAATTATACCTATTTGGATTTCCTTCCCTAACTTGCGCCCCCATTTCTTTTCCCCCCATATCCTTCATGGTTTGGGGTCTTTGTTTGGAAAACCGTTCAAAACGGACAATGCTATTGTTGTTGGTTCTCGTCCTTCTGTTGCTAGTGTTCTTGTTGAACTCGATATCACCAAAAGCTATCCTGATCGTATTTGGCTTGGCCCTGATAAGTTTGGGTATGTTCAATCCGTTGAAATGGAGGATTTTCCCTCTTTTTGTGGTCACTGTAAGTCCCTTGGTCATTCGAATTTGAAATGTGCTGTTTTGCATTCTAATCATATTGCAAACTCTGAGAAGGCTACCAATGTAATGCATGATACTCTGACCCGTCCATTATCTATTGCTTCACCTACTGATAATTTGGATGTCATTATAGAGGATGGTGTTGATCCTATACCTTCTTCACCTCCATCTCCTGTTTTGAGTGATGGTGTTGCTGATGATGCTAATATGGGTATGCAAGAGCTGGGGGAAGGTTTTTTGGTTTCTGGTATGGTTGCTTTGTCTCTTGATAGGTTGGAGGGGTTGAACAACAGCTTTTGTGATGGCAACACGGTGGTGTTGAATGATTCTAACAATGGTTTGGTTGTTGCATCTGAGGAACCTTCCTTGGCTTCTTCTGAACATGTGTTGTCACCTTATAATGTGACTTCCAAGGAAAATGCTCTTTTTATGGATGTTCCAGTTGCTATTATTTCTAATGAGGTGTTGAAATCTCAATTGACAATGAAAATGAAGGATTCCTGTGTGGATCAAAATGATTGGCTTGATGAGTCCTTTGCATTGGCTTGCGGGGGTGATGGGGATGACATTGATGGGGTCGAGAATGAGCATCATGGGATGTTGAAGGTTAGTCGGATCGTTCAGAAAGCTTTTTCTATTGGGGGTGGCAAACGTCGTAGTCGCAAACACAAAAAGAAGTAAGCCTTCTTATTTCTACTGGTTGTAGTGGATTTTTGGTTTTGGCTATTGTTTGGTGGTTTTGGTTTACTTCGGCCAATCTGGACAATGATGGGCCAGGCTCATGCTTGCCACCTGGATGGTCTTGGCTTGCTGGCAACCTTGGTGGTTGATTATCTCGTTTTGGTTGGACATTGGTGGCCCTTCTTTCAGATATGAGATGGTGCTTGATTCTCTTGAGGTTATATTTGGAATGGTTTGTTGGTTGTTGCCTCCAATGGATGATCCTGGCCGAGCATCTAGGTGATGATTGTAGGATGGCTCATGCCATTTTTTGAGTCCGTCAGGCTTCTAGGCCTTTTTTGGTTCTCTTTTTTTTGAGATCATTTTCTTGAATTTGGTGTATTATGTTTTGTATTATGTTTGTTCTCTTTTGGGCCTAGTATGTAATTTCTTTTCTATGGAATGGAAAATTTTAATCATTCAAAAAAAAAATAACATAGCTTGGGATCGAGTCTATAGGCCAATCAGGAGCTTCTCTTAGCTTGATTGCTACCATTTACTATGAGCGTTGCTCTTGTGATTTCTGGAAAATCTTGCATTACATTTCACCTTCACTCCAAATGCCAAATTTTGGGCTTAGCTCAGTAACTCAAGTTGATCAAATTACCAATCTTTTGAGTAATTTGCATTCTATTGCAGACCAAAAAAAAAAGGTTTGGTTGTCTTTTATTTCAATTTTTACGAAGAAAGAAATTGCACAAATGCCAAGATCAGTCATTTATTCTCTTCTCCTCCTTTTTCTTTAAAAGAAATGAAAGTTATATTTGTTTGTAATTAGAAATCTGGATATTCATTTTTCATTATAATATACACGTAATTAACTTGGGTACAATACTTTTCTAATTCCCCTCTTTTTTATTTTTCTTCTTATTTTGTTAGTTGCCTGTTTTGATTAAAAAACTAGGTCAAATATACTGATCAAATTTTCATCAAAAAATATATTAATTGTTCATTGAAAAGTCAGCTATAGAGGATTTAGTGAGAAGGATGAAGGCTCTCAATCTTTGCTTAAAAGTCTTCCAAGTGGCAAAAGGATAGCATGGGTTGTTATTTAGTGTGGGTAAATTAGAGGAATAAGAGTCATTTTTAAGTTATAAATTGTTATAACCATTTGTAGCCTTCAAAGTAGGGCTGCAAGCAAACCAAACGCTCGACGAGCTACTCGTTGTTCGGTTCGATTAAAGCTCGTTTGTGATTGTTTAATAAACTAAACAAACAAACTTGAATACAATGCGTTCAGCTCATTTATATTCGCGAACAACATCATTTAAAGTTCTTGAACAAGCTCAACATTAAGCTCGATAAAAGCTGAATTCATGTTCGATTTTGAACTCATGAATAAGCTCGATAAAAATAATTAATATTTGACTATAGAATTAATACATATAAATAATCATTGTCTTTGTTACATCAACAATTGCTTTTATTATTAAATGTGTTTGTTCATATACATGTTTGTTTGATAGTTAAAAAAAATTGTTAAATATGTTCGCGAACAAGCTTGATAAGCGCTAAATGAACGAACATGAACTAAACATGAATCGAATATAAACACTTATTAATTTAAATGAACCAAACATGAACACAAACAATAAAGCTCGAACAAACATGAATCAAACTTGAACAATATGATATTAAATGAACACAAACATGAACAATCACATACTTAGCTTGGCTCGGTTCGTTTGCAGCCCTACCAGCCATCTGTAATCTGCTAAATCACTAGTGAAACTTTACAACTGGGCGAGGCCCCGTGATTTTTTCCCTTTTTGGGGTTTTCCACGTAAAAACCTTGGTGTTCACTTTCTCTTTTCTGTTTGTGTGTGAAATACTCGTGCAACGCTAAGACGCGAATTTACAAACTCTACCGCCGCGTATATTCTCGCACGCAACAATTATAAATGTGTTTGTTCATAAATATGTTCATATACATGTTTGTTTGATAGTTAAAAAAAATTGTTAAATATGTTCACGAACAAGCTTGATAAGTGCTAAATGAACGAACATGAACTAAACATGAATCGAATATAAATACTTATTAATTTAAATGAACCAAACAATAAAGCTCGAACAAACATGAACCAAACTTGAACAATCTGATATTAAATGAACACAAATATGAAAAATCACATACTCAGCTCGGCTCGGTTCGTTTGCAGCCCTAGAAATTCAGAATTCAACTAAAGGTAGAAAAATATGTTGACATGTGTAGAAAATCCATTGCATAGCATCATAGAATATTGCTAATCTTGAAGAATATTGCACCAATGAGAACGCCCATTAACAGGCTTACTAGTTCCAACCAATTTGAGTTTGCCACGTACTTCCCAGCACAAAACAAAGTCACGTTGTCCCAAAAACGAGCTAAGCATCCAAACTTCAGATATATTACAAAATGCACTGAGCCATGTTATAAACTCCACTCCACACAGAAAATATAGAAACCATCAAAACACTAAACAAACCAGCACAGAATTTAATGTCCTACACCCCAATACGATCTCACATAATCAGATAGAAAATAGAAATTGACTAAAAAATGATTTCAAGAAAAGTGGATTTCTGTCAGGCTCAGCCTTCCACCTCCTCTTCCTCTTCCTCCTCGTAGTCTTCCTCTGCAGTCGCATCCTGGTATTGCTGATACTCGGCCACCAGATCGTTCATATTGCTCTCGGCCTCAGTGAACTCCATCTCATCCATGCCCTCGCCAGTGTACCAATGCAGGAAAGCCTTTCTCCTGAACATTGCAGTGAACTGTTCGCTGACCCTACGGAACATTTCCTGTATTGAAGTTGAGTTTCCGATGAAGGTGGATGCCATCTTAAGCCCCTTGGGTGGGATGTCACACACGCTAGATTTGACATTATTGGGAATCCATTCGACAAAGTAGGAAGAGTTCTTGTTCTGAACATTAATCATTTGCTCGTCCACCTCTTTGGTGCTCATCTTCCCACGGAACATGGCCGAGGCGGTGAGGTAGCGGCCATGGCGCGGATCAGCAGCGCACATCATGTTCTTGGAATCCCACATTTGCTGGGTCAGTTCTGGAACTGTGAGGGCGCGGTACTGCTGAGATCCCCTAGAGGTTAGGGGAGCAAAACCAACCATAAAGAAGTGGAGGCGTGGGAAGGGGATCAGATTCACAGCTAGCTTTCGGAGGTCGGAGTTGAGCTGACCGGGGAAGCGGAGGCAGCATGTAACACCACTCATGGTAGCCGAGATGAGGTGATTGAGATCACCAACTGGAAGTCAGTTAGAACATCATGATTTACGGAACACCCAATGAGAACATTATAGGCATGTTTTAAAAACAGGTCAGGTTTTCGGACCCGAATCCGACCCGATTCAGGTCCGGGTCAACTCTACCCGACATTAATGACCCGGGTTGACCCAAAATAGCTAATTTTCGGGTCAAACTTTGATTTTCAGGTCAATCTCGGATTTTCGGGTCAAATATGAGTTTTTGTGTCAATTTCGGATTGTTGGGTCATCCCGAACCCGACCTGTTTCGGGTCCAGGTTGACCCTAACCTGAATTTTTCCGGGTTGGGTCAAAAATTGACACCACTAGCCATAAGTTCAAATTTTGAAAATTAGAACTAAAACTTCAACTTACAGGTAGGAGTCGCGAGTTTGAGAGTGCGGAAGCAAATATCATAGAGAGCCTCATTGTCAAGCACCATGCACTCATCAGCATTCTCAACAAGTTGGTGAACAGAGAGAGTGGCATTGTATGGCTCCACGACGGTATCTGAGACCTTTGGTGATGGAAAAACAGAGAATGTGAGCATCATGCGATCAGGGTACTCCTCTCTGATCTTTGAAATAAGAAGAGTGCCCATGCCAGATCCTGTTCCTCCACCCAACGAATGGCATACTTGGAATCCTAAATAGAATTAAAAACAAACAACCAACACAAATTAGACAATTATATGTTGCATGTTTTTTTCTCATTTACCAAGGATCCACATTGCACTGTACAGGTTAGAGTTCCAAAAAAATCACGATAAAAATAAAAAACTTATAACTTTATATTTTAAAGTAAATTCTTAAAAGGAATGCATGGTGCTAAATGTGAAAAAAAATGGTGGAATGAATAAAATATAATCCAGGGCTTAAAGAAAACAATAATTGTTCTGAAATCTAAACCAAATTAATCTTCCAATAATATAACAGAACAAAACATAACAGCATGGAAACTTAAAGGCTTTTATAAACACAAAATCAAGACAATTAATTAAGATTAACAGGTAGAAATTAAGTTTGATAAGGAATCATCTCCTAGTAAAGCAAAGATAAAGATTTCTAAGTACAATCATACTGTATATTAATCATCATTATATCTTGTATGATTTAAAAGGCATAAATACAAGCAGAATACACTTGGTTAAGTAAATAGAAATATGCTCAGATGTCTAAAATTATGCCTACATGAAAAAGTCAAACAAAAACAATAGCTATTGCAGAAGCCTTGCCTAGTTTATCTTATTGTAGATAACATATCTTTCGCAGAAAGTTTACTCTCATACAGCATTTGTATTTTGTCTAATATATCTGAGGAGGTATCTAGGATAGTTATAATGCAACCTCAACTCATAATGCAAAAGAACAATACTCTTCAAAGCAATGCAACATTCAATAATGTTAACAGAATTACAGAAACAAAGAGATTTCGTAAAAAAAAAAATCACACTTAGGACAGCTGAAATGTAGGAATTATAGAGGATAAAAAGTGTGGCATTCAACAGAGTTTCAAAAATAAAATCAGACAAACTACTGCAAACTTAACTTCAACATGTCTCCATCTTGATGATTTAACGGCAATAACAACAATAAAACATTCATTATAAAACAATTGCACAAGAAATAAAACTTGAGCGCACAAATTTCCTTTTTCATGTCGAATATAACTTTTCAATGAAATGAAACAGAAACAGTTCATTTAGGTGGGCGGCTAGCATGAAGAAATGTCTAAGGGTTACCATTTGACAGGTGAATTTAACGGAAACCTAAAAAAATTATAAAATGGTGATAAGTTTGATATAGCTGAATGGATCCGAAGTTGGAAATGGTTAGATAATTGCTTGTAAGAAGATAATGTAAATTGAGTAACAAAAAAAGAGGTAGGCCATGTGATAGAGAGAACAGACCTAGCTTGTGTAAAGGATAATTCAACTGCAGTATGGTACAACGGTTCAAATGAAACAGAAACAACAAAAATGTTGGAGGTATGTTTATAATAAAAAACGTAACAAAAAATATTTAGAAAAGTTCCCTTAGGCATGCCCCCCTACCAAATTTCAACCAAGTAATTAAGATACATAAGATCAGCCATAGCTTGACTTCGAGAAATATCCCTAATCCCCCTACATTCAACCAATCACTGTGTACATACATTAAACTGACTTATTACAATTTTAAATCCATTTACCGATCAATAGTTTGCAATAATCCCAATAGCTTAATAATCTTTATGAACACCCCAATTAAGAACATTATTTCTTTTAAAGAAACCCTAACATTTTAGCAACTAAGCAAATGTCTTACGAAAAAAAGATAAATATACAAAAGCACAACACACCCACACCTCATACATAGCAAATTAGGACATGGCTAGCAATATATACAAAAAAAAAAACCTAAAAGGCAGACACGAACCAAAAATAAACCCTGCTGATTAAAATCGGTATTAATATCATGACATTGACTTGGAGGAAGGATACAACAGAAAATGAACGCAAACCAAAACTAGAGTTCATAGATCTGATACCTTGCAGGCAATCACAGTTCTCCGCTTCCTTCCTCACCACATCCAGGACAGAATCTATTAGCTCCGCCCCCTCGGTGTAGTGTCCCTTCGCCCAGTTGTTCCCCGCCCCTGACTGTCCAAAGACGAAGTTATCCGGGCGGAAGATCTGCCCGAACGGCCCGGATCTGACCGAATCCATTGTGCCAGGCTCCAGATCCATAAGAACCGCCCTCGGAACGAACCTTCCCCCGCTTGCCTCATTGTAGTATACATTGATCCGCTCGAGTTGCAGGTCAGAATCACCACTGTACTTTCCGGTGTGGTCGATCCCATGCTCGTCACAGATCACCTCCCAGAACTTTGCACCGATCTGGTTGCCGCATTGTCCGCCCTGGATGTGCAGAATTTCCCTCATCTTCTCCTTCGAAGATCCGCGCACTGGTTGGAAATAAGGCTAGGGTTTGAGCGCAGGACAAACGAAGAAAGCGGAGAAGAAGAGCTGCAGAAAAATGTAAGACAGCAAACAATTCGGGAGCTTTTATCGAGAGAAATCTGGGTTTGGAAACTTGTACGTAAGGTTACCGCCCCGAACGGAAGGTATAACTACCTTCTGTTATATATGGCTACTGTAACCTTTTCGATCCCTCGTGTCATTGCCTCACCGGTGGTAAGAAATGCCAGAGCAGGTAACACCTTTTTTATGCGGAGAGCAGATCTGCCGTCCATTAGAGAACAATTCAAAATTTACGGCGGATAGTTTCGAATTTTATGTAGTCGATTGCCTCATATAAAATTTTAAAATAAAAGACAGATTGTGCCACGAGAAGAAATCAGGAGATGCGAGGGCTGATAAAATCATAAAACATATTTTCCTAGAAAGATAATCTTTTTATTAGCGTATCCTAATAAAAAATAATTAAATTAAATTAATTTTTTAGAATTTATTTTCAATTTTCAACCGGTTTAAAAATTGAATTGTGTCCGAGTCAACCCGTAACTTGAATTTGACCCAAATTCGACTTGAGTTCATGTCCCCCACTTGCACACGCACAACTGGAGCTCCTATTGTTAAAGAACAAACAAGAAAGTACATTTCTTACCACGTGTAAAGGCTAAAGCTAATATGAATCCATGGCTTTGTCTATAAATACAAAGACTGTACATCTCTTTCATCATTCAAGTTTTAATAAAAACAATTTCATTCTTGTTCTTGCTCTGCAGCTCTTTCTCTGCTACCCTTACAGCCTATGCAGGTTATCATGGTGTCAGAGCAAAGGTCAGAAATTTGATTTTTTTTTCTTTTTCATGGCTCTCCTTCTTCCACCAGCAGTCTACCACTGCTCCCTCCCTCCGCTCTTCATATTCTACTTCTGGTTCTTTCCTCCTCGTCAATGGAAGCCTCTGCAACCTCTCAACTTACCATATAATTCAACCCACAATCTCCCGGCCCCCATTATACCACCTCAACTCAAATTTCTTATAAGCAACATCAAGAACCTTGTCCCAACTCTCCTCACCTCAGATAATGACCCAATCTGACGTGCTTGAACATGCACGTGCGGCCCTTGAGACCTTGCTCCCATCCCATGGCCTACGCTTGCATTTGTGCAATCACCCTCGCCCCCGCCCTGTAGCTCGCGCTCGCAACCTCCCACTCGCGACCTCTGACGCGCTCATACCCACGCAGTTGGGTTGGGTATAGGTCTGAATTTCTGACACGTTTGTCTAATTCGATCGGAATAATTTAAGGTGGGTCAATTTTAGATTAGACCCAAACTCAATTTAAAAAACCATTTTGACACTCTTAATTACATATTAGAACTTCTCAAACTTCTAACATAACACTCCAAGAGATTTTGCCCATAACACATTATATTGCACATACCATACAACACAAACTTAAAATTATCATGTTGTGCATGTTTACTGTATTATAATAAGGCAGAGAGCTTAACTATTCTAATTCACAAAAATCAAGTTTAAACTTCTATTATTAGGACAGTCAATTGACTAAAATGGTGTGATTTAAGTGACATAAAAGAACTTGGAGAAATATAATAAAATTCTAATGAGTGAATTCCTTGAATTTCATCTTATTCCTTCCAAAATAATTTCTTAACTCAGAATCGTAAGGATTTAGTAATATTTATGAGACTTTACTTATATATGAAGGATAACATTAGATCTAGCTTAGAGTTCAAGTTTGTGGCTCTAATCTAATGCAAGCTTTCTAAAAGCTAGCATGTCATAATAGTTTTAGAAGCATTCAAACATCATAAATATATCACTAAGGTTTTTTTTTTAGACGGTTTTTTTATTATTTTGTAAAGCTGTTTTATAGTACAAAAATCTCTTAAAAGTAGGATAAAAGTAATGGTCTAAAGTTGACAAAAATTATTCTGTGTGAATGCTAAACGCCGTCCGGAGACCAACTAGAATGCGTCACGTCACCATTTTGTTCGGTACCGTGGCTCAGTATTGCTCAGTACCGCTCAGTACTGCGGCTAGATACCACTGATGTGGTTTCACCTGATTCACCTTCAGAAGTAGAGCTGCATCCGGCGTCCGCACAGAATAATTTCTCCTAAAGCTGTCTCAAACTTCACAAAGTATTAGGCTTCGTTGGGTCTAAAACATCAATTTTTAAATTTTGTACTAAAATTTATTTTTAAAAAGCAAATAAAAAGTTGTCCTAAAATGTTTGGGACGACTTTCTTTCCGCTCAGTAAAACGACTTCCCAGTACATTTACCTAAGACGTTTGGGACGCCTTTCTTTCCGCTTCTTAAAGCGGCTTCCAAGTACAAATATTAAATGTACTAGTAAGCCGCTTTACGAAGCAGTAAGAAAGCCGTCCCAAACGAAACCTTAATCTCCACACATAATAATTTTAAAATAATTTTTATTTACCCTTTGGATCACCATCACAGTTTCTTTTGATTTATCCTTTGAATCATCATCACAAAGACTCATAGAGAAGAGTTAATAATAGCCATCTCAAAGAAATATAAGTATCGTTGATGAGACATTTAGGGTAGACATGTATTTCACCCTAATGGGGCGTCTTAATAAGGCGAATTATTGCATCCGGTGTCCGGACATCCAATCCGGTGACTCCACGTCACCCAAATAAACTGGGTCCTGATATTTTTTGGTGATGTGGCGACACCAGATTGGTGTCCGGACACCGGATGCAATAATTTGCCCCTTAATAGAGAGCTTACAGAGTCTGGGGAGGGGGTGGGGCACATAAGCAGCACCATGAAAAGTTGGCCACTCTTGGCAAGTATTTTAACAGAGTGGTCGATATTTGTGAATGGATGGTCTTAACAAATTAGTAATGCATAGATTCCTTCAAGTGGTTTTTATAATGCACACTTTTATAAATAATATAATTCTTGTTGCGGGCTAGAATATACGCGGCGATAGAGTTATAATTCTACGTCTTAGCGTTGCACGGATATCCAGCCCAGATCGTCCCAGGACGATCAGACCAAATTTGATCGTCCTGGACGGTTCCCAGGACTATTCTCCGGTCGATATTTTGAACAGTGCACATCGGCCTGGCCGATGCCTCAATCGGCCTGGACGATGCCTACAGAAAAACACCTGGAGCAAATCTGGGCAAATTCTGGAACAAATTCTCAACTGATAGTCCCAGGACGATCCCAGATCATCCTGGACGATCCTGGAGCAGATTTTGATATTACATTAAGTGACAAAAAAGAACTTGGAGAAATATAATAAAATTCTAATGAGTGAATTCCTTGAATTTCATCTTATTCCTGCCAAAATAATTTCTTAACTCAGAATCGTATGGATTTAGTAATATTTATGAGACTTTAATTATATATGAAGGATAACATTAGATCTAGCTTAGAGTTCAAGTTTGTGGCTCTAATCTAATGCAAGCTTTCTAAAAGCTAGCATGTCATAATAGTTTTAGAAGCATTCAAACATCATAAATATGTCACTAAGGTTTTTTTAGATGGTTTTATTATTGTTTTGTAAAGCTGCTTTATAGTACAAAAATCTCTTAAAAGTATATATAGGATAAAAGCAATGGTCTAAAGTTGGAAAAATTATTCTGTGCAAATGTCGAACGCCGTCCGGAGACCAACCAGAATACGCCACATCACCCTTTCGCTCGGTACCACGGCTCGGTATTGCTCAGTACCGCTCGGTAGTGCGGCTCGATACCACTGACGTGGCTTCACCTGATTTGCCTCCGGACATAAAGCTGCATCTGGTGTCCGTACAAAATAATTTCTCCTAAAGTTGTCTCAAACTTCACGAAGTCTTAGGCTTCGTGGTGCAGCGACCGGAAGAAGCAAACCTGCAAAGAAAAATAAGAACACAAGAGGAAGGAGGAAGAGGAACGAAGGAGAAGGGAAGCAATAGAACAATAATTTCGTATATGATTTTCTGTTCTCAAACGTTCTCAGCTGCAGCTCATAATGCCTCTACTCAAAGTGAGGTTAAAACAGTAAAAAGCAAAAGTAATTCTAATTACTGGAAATAAGTAAATGCTATAACAGAAATCTGTTATGAGGTAGTGGTTTTCCTCCCATCACATGGCCACGTGGATATTCGACATGTGCGCTGCATCAGGTCTCCCCGTCTTCAAAAGAGCTGGTATCCAGCGAAGAACTCACGACGGCGGTATCATCAAGTGGATGGTATTGGAAAATATCGGAGACATTGAAGGTGTGGGAGGTCACTCGGTAAATCCACAATGTATGCATTATCATTGATGCGATGAAGAATATGAAAAGGTCATATCTTCTTGGGATTTAATTTAGCATAGCTGCCCGATGGGAACCGTTCTTTGCGGAAACGAAGCATCACTAGCTCGCCCGGTTGGAAGATTTGCTGCCTTCTATGCTTGTCAGCCTGCTGTTTATAGGTTTCATATGATGATTCCAGTTTCTGCTTTACTTCCTTCAACAACTAACCAGATTGGGTGGCCTGTTTAGTTGCGGATGTGCTATGGCATTTTGGTAAGACTGCAAGATCAAGAAGATGATTAGGCATTTTTGTATACATAATAGCAAAGGGGCAATGACCTGTGGATCGATTGGGCATCGAATTGTAAGTAAATTCGGCTTGACCGAGAACCTCTTCCCACCGTGAGGGGCTTTGCCCAACTAAACAACGGAGCATACTACCAAGTGTCCTGTTGACGACCTCCATTTGGCCATCGGTTTGCGGATGATAAGCTGAAGAAAGTTTAATATCTGTTTTGAATCTCTTCCACAGCTCACGCCAAAAATGGCTAATAAACTTCACATCTCGATCGGAGGTAAGACTCATTGGGATTCCATGTAAACGGACTATTTCTTTAAAGAAGATGCGGGAGATGTTGAGGGCGTCAAACATCTTTTTACAGGGAACAAAATGAGCCATCTTCGAGAACCGATCGACGACGACCATAATGGCGTCGGAGCCGTGCTTAGTGCGAGGCAATCCCAAGACGAAATCAAGACTTAAGTCCTCCCATATAGAATCGGGAATGGGTAAAGGT